GCCCACCACAATGCCCAGCGATTTTTTGTTTGCAGTTTGGCTGGGGCTGGGTTTGAACCTGCCACCCTCGGTATATGGGGCTGGCACCCTATCCACTGAGCCACAGGCACTGCCCCTTCTCTTCTTTTCTTAATTTTTAGAGAAACCTTATTAATACAAATACACACTTGGGAATGAAAGGGGGTCTTTTTATAGCTTTGACATTCTTTAAACTCTCTTCAAAATTACACAACCAAAAGTCATAGAGTGATCTCATAAAAGAAATTTTTTTTTTGAGACCCAGTCTCAGTCATGTTGGGTAGAGTGCTGTGGCATCATAGCTCACAGCAACCTCAAACTCTTGGACTCGAGCGATCCTCTTGTTGACTTGTAGCTGGGATTACAGGTATCTGCCATGACACTTGGCTAGCTTTTCTGCTTTTAGTAGAGATGGGGGCTCACTCTTGCTCAGGCTGGTCTTCAACTTCTGAGCTCAAGCAATCCACCCATCTCAGCCTCCCAGAAGGGTGAACCACCTGGATTACAGGTGTGAGCCACCATATCCAGCCTGAAAAATAATTTTTCTTTTTTTTTACTCAGTTAGGTCTTCCTCCAATTTTCCAAAAGCTAAGAACTGAAAACCAGCTGACTTTGAAAAGGATTTGTTCCCCAGTCATCAAGGTTATTTTCTCAACAGTGACATCAACATATCAAATTTTTCATTTAATTGGCACCTCAGGTATTTTTACACTTTTGGGAAACAGAAAACACACCAGAGTAGCCAGTGAAAAGTCCTCTTTTCTTTTGCAAGGAGGGAGAATAGTTAACCTTGCTACGGTTTTCCATTTGGGGGAAATCCAGATGGAAGGTGAGGATCTGGCAAATGATTCCCTTAAAACACTCTGTGCTCAAGTACTAGCTGGAAAACCTTTGGGTATCCCCTCCAGACATACACATATCTGGGTTGGAAGAAGGTAGCGGCAATATGTTTAAAAGGAAGCATCTATAAAGGAAAACCGTGCATATTTATATTTTTAAAGTATTCTTGCCTTACCTGCATTATTTCTTTTGAAAGCAAGTTCTGTGCCCATGGGTCCAAATGACTTAGGAAACAACGGATTGTTCCACGCGTGTGGGTTTATATCCTTTCCACCGGCTATCAAGGACACATTCTTGGGGTTTACACCTTAGAAGAACAGAGCAGTCAGAGGAGTCATGTCAAAGGTTAGTTAGCATGATCATAAACGTGAAAAGAAAACATCATCTAATACGTTCAAACAGAAACTAGAACTGCCTGGGACAGGAGAATGGAAATACATTGAGGTTACAATGGAGCATCTGTTTGCTCTTTGATGAACCCTAAGGTGACCCCAAACCCTGAGCACAACCACCTGGAATACTCCGGGTACTTTATAAACAGAAGATACTGTCTGTAATACAAGTGATAGCAAAGCTGATGTCCTTGCTAAAGGTCTTATAAAAACTGAGGTGGCACAAATTTCTTTCTTTTCAAAAACATGACATGTCCATGTCATCTGCTTGTTCTGCTGTCTGCTCTGGGCCGGACACTTGGTGTAGTGGGGAAAAGAGACGCATGAGCAGGGACTCGGGGAAAGCTGAGAAGTTACAAAATAGGTGTGTGCGAATGGATCCATCTGTGATGCTTATGTGCATCTCAGACACAGTAAAATCTGAGGACTTCCTCACCTGCGGAGCGGAAAGGGGTGGGAAATGACCTTGCCAAAGAGGACAGTTTAAATTATCGGTGATCTCCTGACGTCCATGAAATGTTGAGTCAGCCTTGGGCTTTGGTACTAGTGGTTTGGGGAACTTGCTTTTAAGAGATTTGAAAATTCCTTGAGCTTGTTTTCTTTCTACTGATAATTAAACTTGATTGAACGTGTAAGATGCTAAAAACATCAACGCGGTTTACTTTTAGGTCATACACAGAGTGTTTTCTTTCGTTAATAAAGAAATCTTTACTATATCTAAACCTAAACTAAGACTCCTTTAACTTAGGCAGTTAGAACTGTTTCCAGGCAGTATGAACTTTTGCTTTTTGCAAGTTGAACTCTTTAGAAAGGTTCCAACCTATGAGCGATATAATAATATCCCTTACTGTGAAACCAGAAATACTGAGCCTCAAGTTAACCCAGCATCAGCTCTCTGAAGGAAACAATCTATCAGACAAGTTCCCTTTCTTACAAGATATAACTCCCCTAACAAAACACCTACAAATACATAGACTATAATAGGCAATTACCTGATAATAAAGAAAACGTATTAGGTGGCAATTACTCACATTAAATCATCTTCACCCAAAAAGAAAGTGTCGAGTAGGGGGGAAAAATTAAAAATCTCTTTAAGTGAACACAGTTTTCACAAACATAGTTCAACAAAAAATGGATCTTAAATGTTTAAGTTACATTGTTAATCTGATTGCCTTTGGCAATATCGTTTATTTAAAAGTAAGTTGATACATTCTTGAAGATAATTGGTTTAATTCAAGGTCTTTTTAAGATAAAGATTCCAATTTTGTTGAAAATAGATACATCCTAGAATTTACAATTATTTGTTTATAAGATTTTATCGGTCACCTTCTCTATAACAAACACTGTTAGGAAGAAGCAGAAATTACTATCATTTGAGATTCTAATCAACATACGATAATGGCTGCTCATTAAAAGTCAGTTAGCAAATATTTACTGAGCACCTTCCGTGTGCCGGTGTGTGTGGCATTGGAGAAAAAGCGGTAAACAAAACAGGCCAGTTCCTATGCTTTTGTCCCTTATAATCTAATCAGAAGGACATAGTAATAGTTACAATTAAGTAAATAATTAGCAGTGTGCACATCGTTTAGAAGAATCTGGTGCTGACTAGGCAAATAACAGAAGCACCTCAGCCAGTCTTTCTTTCAAAAAAGCAATTTTAGGCTGAAATGTGATTCACGTTTAGTGGGCGGGGTGGTGTCTTTGTAGGAGAAGCCACAGCTTAGGCAGAGGACCTGTGGTGGGGATGCCCTCAGAGGGTCAGCACGGACTCAACAAGAACTAGAAGGGGTACAAAATGAAGCTGGACAGGGAGGAGGGTCAGATCATGCAGGACCTTGTATACGGTGTTCAGAGATTTTAAATGCAGTAGAAGGGGGTAACAGAGAAGAAACACAAGCCGTAGAATAAACAGGGTGGAAGTAAGAGCTACATGGGAAGGAGTCTGTGGCTGCTTCTCTCATGAGGAACACCGGGTTTGAAAAGTGCTATGGAGCGCACAGCTCTTCTAGCCGGCAGTGGTGGCTTCTGTTCATGCTGACAGTCCCGGTTCTAGGAGCAGAGGGTGAGACCGGAGGGCACCTGCTAGCGTTACATTGCATACTCTATTTGCAACTACCTTGTGATAATTAAGTACCTAAGGCTTACAGGGTGAGCGGGTAGATGACTGAAGTCCCATTGTAAGTAACAGAAAACAGAATCTCAAAGTCTTGCTCCAAGTACACAGCTGGTCAGTCGCAGGTCAATAACTATGACTCTTGCGTCTCTTTCCCTGAAGGTCAGTGTCACAGATCTGCCAATCCTTGTAGCATAATGTCATGCTGCCCTGTAATTATATGGTACATTTCTAGAGCTCCCATAATCCTAAAGGTTGATGCTTAATAAGACCTTTTATACTTGACTTCAGGGTATAAAAAGAAGGCCCCCGCAGTTATTGGTTTTTTTTATTCCTGAAGTTATTCAGTTACAAAAATATCTATGGATCATAAATAAATGTCAAAGATGGCTTCTCATTCAGATTTCTGTCCTCTGCATAGCTGGTTCACAGTAAGTGCTCAATAAATGTTTGTCCAAGTGACTGAACTGAGCCCAATTCTTGTTCCTAGTCTCAATCCAGCTCTAGAGGGGTCATATTCAAAACAAGGAATGCCGACGGGGGAAAGTAAGGCTCAAGTTTACACTTCAAACAATTCTTTGTAGTTTTGAGTCCATTTTTTAAATCTCAGTTACAGCCATACTCTGATTCCAAGTAATTTACAGAATTTATTGTAGCTTTCTAGTTAAAAAAGGAATGATCAGATAGGCCTCAAATATGGAACATATTCTTAAAAACCACATTAGGTATGAAAATGGGGTGTTTCGGATCCATTTACCCTTTGCCAAAAATCTACAGTAGTCTTTCCTACCACAAGAGGGCTCACTTCTATAAGATAAAAAGTGATTTGCTAAATTTCAGTGATTTTTTTTTTTTAAACAGACAAAAGTTATCGCCTGTGAATTTACATCGTGTAATGGTCCTTACATCTGTGCTTTTGCAGTCAGATCAGAACTCTCTCATGGTTTTGACACCAAAATTTACAAATCTACCAAGACCTACAGATTACAATGCAGGTATTTTTGCTCCTTTCGGAAGTGTGCCCCAATCCTTAGGGCCTTAACTCCAACTCTGCTCACCCTCCTGAGGACTTGGTGCCCCATCCATCTCCCTCTTCTCCTGCAGGTCCGTTCCTCCCCCTGCAAGCCTCAGACCCATCTGCACCAGACCTGCTGAAAGCCCTGCTGAAGGGCCACCCTCCTGCATTCCATAAAGATTAGGTTCCTTATCTAAGCTCCTCTCCGTGGCAAACAAAGATGAAATAGCTTAAGTGAGAACTGCCATTGTTACAGTCTGATTAGAAAGAGATAGGTGGGCAAATTTTCGTTCTATGATTGTCATAATATAATTTCCTATACAAAAAAGTTAGAGTAAGTTAAATTTGTGTCTCACTCTCCAGAATCAAAGCATAATGTCACAAATAGAACAGTCTTTTTCAAACTAGAGGAAGACATTACCGTGGTGAAAATTTGACCTGATGAGGACAAAAGAATAGGGACTTTAATGTCAAGCGATGTCCAAAAATTCAAAATGTTTCCAGGCTGGGAGGAGCTCTCGCCTGTAATTCTAGCACACTGGGAGGTAGAGGCCGAGACAGGTAGATTGCTTGAGCTCAGAGTTTGAGAACAGCCTGAGCAAGAGTGAGACCCTGTCTCTACTAAAAGTAGAAAAAACTAGCTGGGCATATAGGTGCACGCCTGTAGTCTTAGCAACTAGGAGGCTGAGGCAGGAGGATTGCTCAAACCCAAGCATTTGAGGTTGCTGTGAGACAAGATGATGCCACAGTACTCTATCCAGAGTGACAGAGTGAGACTCTGTCTCAAAGAAAAAAACAATTCCAGT